TGCACTGCTACAGTGCGCTGCTTGGGAAGTGCGGCGGCGCTCCCACCGAGGGTTCGGGTCCCACATACAGACCGGCCACTCACTGGCTGAGCGAGGAGCGGGGGCAACACCAAGGGTTGCGATCCCGTAGCTGTTCCCGTCCGGTACGGGCGCGACACTGAGGGTTGCGATCCGTTGCCGGTCACGAAAAAAGACAAAAAAAAAAAGGAAATCTACAGATCAATCTCTCTCAGGAACAGAGATGCAAAAATAAAAATTTAGTAAACTGAATTCAGCAACACAAGAAAAGATTTTAGATCATAACCATAGGGGATTTATCCCAGAAATATAAGTTTGGTTTAAAATCTGAAAATCAATTGATGTAATATGCCATAAGTGGTAGAATAAAGCAAGGTTCAGTAAAGTTTTTAAAAATAGGGTCAGATAAGTAGATGTCTTAGGCTTCTTGGCTCATACACTCTGTTGCAACTACTGGACCCTACCAGTGTTGAGTACAGACATAAAAGTAGTCACAGACAATACATAAACAAGTAAACATGGATGTGTTCCAGTAAAACTTACTTTCTGGGTGCTGAGATTTGAATTTCATATAATTTTTGTGTGTTACGCAATAGTATCTTCTTTTGATTTTTCTTTCAATCATTTAAAAATCTGAAAACCATTCTTAGTTTGTGGGCCATATAGAAACAGGCAGCGGGCAAAATTTGGCCCATGAGCCATAGTTTGCTGACCTCTGGAATAAAGGACAAAAACCACATGATCATCTCATTGTGATAGGCAGCCTCCAAAATGGTCCCCAAATAATCCCTCCCCCCTTGTGGTATTCACATCCTTGTGTAATCCTTTCCCCTTGAGAGTTCACTTCACCTAGTGACTCATTTCTAACAATTGAATACTGCAAAAGAGATTAGATGTCACTTTTGAGATTAGGTTACAAAAAGACTTCTATCCTGCTCTGCTTTTTCTGTGGGCTCTGGCTGTCAGGGAAGCATGCTGCTCTGTTGTGAGTACCTCTGTGGAGAGGTCCACATGGCAAGGAGCTAATATCTCCAGTCAGTAACCAGCAGGGACCTGAAAGCTACCTAAAGCCTCGTGAGTGAGCTTACAATTGGATCTTCTGAGGTCTGCCAACAACCATCTAAGTGAGCTTGGAAAGGGATTTAAACCAAGTTAAGTTTTGAGATGATTGCATACCTGGCGAATACTTTTTTTTTTTTTAAGGTTGGCAGCAGTTTATGAGTTTGTAGCTCAGGAGAAAGAACTATTTGGCATCGAGACAGAGGCTTGAGTGTCGTCTATGATAACTTGAGCAATGGGAGTATACAAATAATGCAAAGGGATATAAAGTAAGAGGAAACGCAGACTGAAGAAGGAACTCTGGGGCTGGCTGGTTAGCTCAGTTGGTTAGAGCACAGCATGGCCATTACCTTGATTGAAGTCTTGTCAGAGACCCTAAGTCAGTGGTACCCTGCTCAGCTGCCTGTATTCCTAACCCATAAAAACTGTGAGATAGTACATATTTGTTGTTTTAAGCTGATCAGTTTTGGGGTGATTTGTTATGTAAATAACAGACAAATAAAATAGGTAATTATTGCATTCCTAGAAATAGAAAAGGCACATGATAGGGGGCTAGTCAGTTAGCTCAGTTGGTTAGAGCACAGTGTTGTAACACCAAGGTTGAGGGTCAAGATCCCATTACCAGCCAGCTGTCCAAAAAAAAGTAAAAGCACATGACAAAGTCTAACACCCATTCATGATAAAAGCAATTAGAAGGGAATTTACTCAACATGATCAAAGGTATTTATGAAAACTTACTGCTGACATCATACTTGATGGTAAAAGACTTTCCCCCTAAGGTCAGGCACAAGGAAAGGATGTTCACTCTCTTTACTTCTATTCAACATTGTATTGGAGGGTCTAGCCAGTGCAATAAGCTTTTTTTTTGTTGTTGTTAATTTTAATTCATCAATATACAGTGTAGTTGATTTTCGTGTCCCTTTACCCCATTCCTCCTTTTCCTCCCTCCCTCTCCCCCCTCCCCCCACAATAAGTTTTTTTTTTTTTTTTTTAAAGCGTACAGATAGAAAAGAATGAAGTAAAACTGTCTTTATTTGCAAATAACGTAATTCCATATGTAGAAAATACTAAGGAAACCACAAAAAAACTACTGGAGTTTTTTTTTTTTTTAAATGTCTTTGGGGCCGAGCCTGTGGCGCACTCGGGAGAGTGTGGCGCTGGGAGCGCAGCAGCGCTCCCGCTGCGGGTTCGGATCCTATATAGGGATGACGGTGCGCTCACAGCGCTCACTGGCTGAGCGCGGTGCGGCCGGTCTCAGAAAGGACCAAAAAAAAAAAAAAAGTCTTTGGATATGCACTTTATTTATTTATTTATTTATTTATTTTTGGTGGCTGGCTAGTGTGGGGATCCTAACCTGTGACCTTGGTGTTATAAGGCTGTGTTCTAACCAACTGAGCTAACTAGACAGCCCCCACTACTAGCATTTATAAACAAGTTTAACAAGCTCCCTGGATACACAATTGATATACAAAAATTAATTGTATTCCTATACATAAGCAACACACAGTCCAAAAATAAAATTAAGAAAAGAATTTTACCAGCCAGCCACAAAAAAGAAAACAATTCTATTCATAATATTAGAATAAAATATTTGTAAATAAATCTAATAAAAGTAATACAAAATTTCTACACTGAAAACCAGAGAACATTACTGAAATAAATTAAAGATGTAAAGTGGAGACATAGTTCATATTCATGCATTGGAATACTTGATGTTGTCAAGTGTCAGTTCTCTCCAGATTAGTTTATAGATTCATGGCCAGTTAGCTCAGTTGGTTAGAGCATGGTGCTGATAACACCAAGGTTCAGGGTTTGATCCCTCTACTGGCCAGCAAAAGAGTGTGTGTGAGAGAGAGAGAGAGAGAGAGAGTGTGTGTGTGTGTGTGTGTGTGATTAAATGCAATTCCTATCAAAATCTCAGATTTTTTTTTTTTAAGAAACTGACAGGCTGATCCTAAAATTTACATGCAAGTGCAATAGCCATGCAATTTTGAAAAAAATGAAGAACAATGTTGAAGGAGTTATGATACCCAATTTAAATCTTATTATAAAGCGGTAGTAATCAATACAATGTATACTGTTGAAAAGGATAGATATATAGGTCAATGGAATAGAATTGAGAAAACAGAAATAAACTCTTATATTTACAGTCAACTCATTTTGACAAGTAACCACAATAATTCTATGGCAAAAGGATAAGGATGGTCTTTTTCATCAAACGATGCTAGGACAATTAGATATCCATGTGCAAAAGAAAAAAAAGAATTTAGACCCTTAATTCACACCATACACAAAAATTAAATCAAAATGGATTATAGATCTAGTTTTAGTAGGAGCTAAACTATAAAACTCTTAGAATAACACATAAAGAAAAAAAACTTTGTGATCTTGGGTTAATCAAGAGTTAATAGATACACCAAGAGCACAAGCTAATAAGGAAAAAGTTGATAAATTGGATTTCATTAAAATTAAAAACTTCGTTGGTTAGAGTGTTGTGTTATAACACAAAGATCAAGGATTCCCCAAATCCAGCTGCCAAAAAGTGAAAAAAACTTTTAATGCTTTTGAAAATGCCATTAAGAAAATGAAAACACAAGGTACAAACTGGGAGAAAATATTTGCAAATCATATGTCTGATAAATTTTGTATCTAGAATAAATAGAGAGCTCTTAGAATCAATAAAAAGATGACAGTCCAACTAAAAAATGGCTAAAGACTTAAACAGACATTTCGTCAAAGAAGACATATGAATGGCTAATAAGCATAAGAAAAGGTTTTTTTATGGAATTATGAAATAAAACCTCAATGTGATTCTACTTCATACCTACTAAGGTGGCTATAATCAAAAAGAGAAAATGCCAAGTGTTGGCAATGAGATAGAGTAGAGAATCTGGGACTGTCATTGTAAAATGGTCCAACCACTTCAGAAAACAGTTTGACAGTTTCTTAAAAGGCAAACAATTCCACTCCTAGTAATCTACCCAAAAGAAATGAAAGCATAGGTCCGCACAAAGATCTAGGCAATATATTAGCCAAAAACAATGTGTGTGACTCTTGTTTGGATGCTGATTTTGAACAAATCAGCCTGACCAAGGCATTTATGAGACAGTGGGGGAAATTTTAACACAGACTGGGTATCAGATGATTTTAAGGAATTAAAACACTAATCTTTTAGAAATATTTACTGAAATATTTATAGGTGAAATAATGTTTGGGATTTGCTTTAAAGTACAGGAAGTAATAGGTGAAATAAAAATAGCAGGATATTGATATTGATGTTGAAATTTAATGATGGTACATGTGGGTTCTCTATATTATTCACTCCTGTGTATATTTCAAATTTTCCATGGTGAGTTTAAAAATTAAACTGAAAATTTGACCTTTATACAAAAAGAGCCTTTAAGAAATTCATAAAGGAAAGTAGGTTGCAGTATTATATAATTTACTTGTTTCAGCCCAATACCAGTCCATCTTTTGTATACCTTGCAAAACTCCAGTTCTTTCATTATTGCTATGCAGAAGTTTATCTTGAGTAGAGATTTAAGTGACAGAGCAGAGGCAGAACTTTCTGTCTTCATGTTTCACTGCATGCTAGCAGGTAGTGGTTAGCTTTCTGGTGTTCCTTGATTTGCAAAATGCACATAGATCTTTTAGAGTCCACATAAGTATTGTGCTGTTTGTTAATAGCTATTAACTTTCCAGATGTCAGTCAAGCACCATCTTCCCCTCATGTAAATTCTCATACACAGCACAGTCTTTCTTCTTTGTGAATGGTACCTGCAGGATTTATAAGTGCTTTTTTTAGGGGGTATGGAAATTTTACACTTCATGTATATGTACACATGTTTAATGAGAATGGTGTATGATGTACTGAGGATGTGTTCTTATTTTATTCATTTATTTCTCCTTTTTCTATTTTTCAGTACATGTACTAGCCTTAGCAAGTTCTGTTGCAAACTCAGGCACCTTGACTTGACTTCCTGTACATCAATAACAAACATGTCTCTAAAGGCACTGAGGTAATTTCTTATAATAAGCATGTCCAGTAATCAGAACAAATATATACTTTTTTTTTTTTTTAATTTTAAAGATGACCGGTAAGGGGATCTTAACCCTTGACTTGGTGGTGTCAGCACCACTATCTCCCAAGTGAGCGAACCAGCCATCCCTATATAGGATCCGAACCCGTGGCCTTTGTGTTATCAGCACCACTCTCTCCCAAGTGAGCCACGGGCCGGCCCTAATACATACTTTTTAAAATAACATATTAAGTTGGAACTGAAGGGACTGTGTTTTATGGATAGATACTGTAGTTCAGAATAGATCTTCTGTTTTACCACTTGCCCAAAAAACAATTACAGGACACATTCAAGTGAAATGACTAGAGATAACAAGGATTTCTAACAGAGTACTACAGCTTATTACATAAATGATTAGATTTTTATGAAGTCCTATTTTCCAAAAGAAAAAAAGGGGGGGGGGATAAGAAAATGGTATGTATTACAGCTTAGGGACTAGAAAAGGGTTCTGGAGTCAGGTTATTAAGCAAGTGCTTTACTACTCAACTCTGCTGTTGTAGTGAAAAAGCAGCAGCCGTAGATGATACATAAACGGAGCACGGCTGTGTTCCAATAAAACGTTACTTATGGATTCTGAAAAAAAAAAAAATTAAGCAAGTGCTTTAAGCAAACATAACCCTTCTGAGCTTTTCCTTATAGCATTGTTATTAGGATTAAACAAGATATTAGGCTTAACCATATAAAGTTGTGCCAACATTCAACAGTTTTTGTGTTATAAAAATGACAGCTTCGTGTACTTCAACCTAATATATGTAAAGTGCTTAAAAGCGTTCCTGGTATATAGTAAGCACTCAATAAGTGATAATTATTTTAATGTTCATAATTTTTAAAAAGTACATTGCAGAAGATATATCTTAAAAGGAAGGTGAAATGCCCATTCTCTTTGGAAACTTTTTTTTTTTTTTTTAAGATGACCGGTAAGGGGATCTTAACCCTTGACTTGGTTCTCCCAAGTGAGCTAACTGGCCATCCCTATATAGGGATACGAACCTGTGGCCTTTGTGTTGTCAGTACCACACTCTCCCAAGTGAGTCATGGGCCGGCCTGGAAGACATCTTTTTATCAGCCTTTTTATATGATTGTGGGGCACATTTATTGGTTGCATTTGTGCACAGTAAGAATTAGGCTATTAAAAGAAGAAATACAGGGCCGGCCCGGTGGCTCACTTGGGAGAGTGTGGTGCTGATAACACCAAGGCCCCGGGTTCGGATCCCATATAGGGATGGCCGGTTCGCTCACTGGCTGAGCGTGGTGCTGACAACACCAAGTCAAGGGTTGACATCCCCTTACCGGTCATCTTTTTAAAAAAAAAAAAAAGAAGAAGAAGAAGAAATACAGATTTAGTTGAGTGTAAGTAATCTAAAATGTGACTTCTTTTAGACCTTCCTTGTGAATGTTGAGCCTATATTTATCTAAGACTGCCTTGTAAGATAATAAATATGATAATATAACATTTATCATTTATAAAATATTTTCATATAAGTTATCTCACTTATTTGAAAACCTTGTGAGGTACATATGACAGACATTTTATAGATAAGAAAATCTAAAAAGTTGTTCAGTGCCAGGTACAGTGATGCAACCATGAGATGTAAATGAGTAAGATATTGTTGCTGCCCTTGAGTTGCTCAGAGTCTACTGGTTGAAAAACTGCTAAACATATATCATATTTCTGTGTGATAAGTACTGGGATAGGAATGAGTACATTGGTTTTGGGAGAACATTGAAAGGGCTGTGGCCAGTCTTGGACTAAGCGGTTCAGACAGGTTTCCTAAAGTGACTTGCCTGAAATCAAACTCTTAAGTTGAAGAATGAACTTGAACCTAGAGCTCCTGGCTTTGTTTTTGTGTCTTTTCTGCAGACAGGAATGCAGAGTTTCCCAAAGAATATCATAGAAAGTTTGGGATTCTTCCATAGTCCAAATGTGAAAATAAACTGATAAGAGCAGAGGGATCAAAGATGAAGCTAGTATTTTGATAGAAGGCAGAGATTGAACACAAGGTATCCTAAATTTAGCCTACAGAAACAATACTGTGGAAACGAACCAGATAAGGAAATATACAGAGCCTTTGTAATTTTTCTTAAATAAATGTTTAAAAGTCCTCACTATTACTTTGATACTGGTAGAATTACTTGATGGAGAAACTGGGTTTGAATCTGAACTCTTTACTAATTACTCTGTAAAGTTGAACAAGTCACTTAATTTCCATTTCCTATGAATATAAAAATACTTTGAAAAGTATAAATCTCTATAAAAAATGTAATATATCAGAAAAATAATATTGTACTTTGTGATTATTGTTTAAGCCAGATTTGCAGTGACACTGCTAGTGATATAGTTCCCCGTGAACACCACAAACGTTAATAAATCAGCTTTGTTTGGGGGTTTTTTTTTGCTATGGGAATGCCTGTGTTCTAAATTTACATTAAGTAAATACATATATTCTTGTGGGAGAGAATGGGACTGTATTCTTTCCTTCACCGAATAGCCAGTAAAATGTGACTTTGGTGCCTTTGGAATTATATTTAGTGATTTGTTTATCTCATTTTATTCTAAGCGAGGGATGTCCATTGTTGGAGCAGTTGAACATTTCCTGGTGTGACCAAGTAACCAAGGATGGCATTCAAGCACTAGTGAGAGGCTGTGTGGGTCTCAAGGCCTTATTTTTAAAAGGCTGCACACAGGTAATATTCCATGTAGTGCTTGTGAAAGTCGGAGGAACCATAATGTCTTTGTGGGCAGCCCCAGGATTTTTATCTTAAGGGAAATGTTAGTTGTGTGTATTGTTGATCAAAGACACATGCTTACCAAAATTAAAGTGTTTTCCTTAGAATAAAAGAATTAACATCTGACCAAAGATGAATTTGGGGATGGGGGAAAGCAAGGTGGGGAGATCTAAGATCATACCTAGGATACACCAATCTGTACTGAAAAGAAAACTTGCCGTGTTGTCACTGCCTGATACTTTGAACTGGATAGGCAAAGAAGGCAGTTTTGGCGATTTCTGTTTGTTTAGCCACCAGGAATTTTTCTCAAATGTGCTAGTTATACAACAACCTATATTTTATATCTTATAGTATTTATTGGTGCTTATTTCCTGCCAGTCACATTACAAATCCAACGTATTTTAACATTAAAAATTTTACTATCTCAGTGTAAAAGGAATTGACCAGATAGCAACTGGAAAGAAATGATCAAGAATGGATTTATTTTATTTTATTTTTTATTTTTATTTTTATTTTTTGGCAGCTGGCCGGTAAGGAGATCCGAACCCTTCTTTGACCTTGGTTTCCCAACACCGCAGTCTCCCAAATGAGCTAACCAGCCAATCCCCTCAAGAATGGATTTAAATGTGATTGACTAGGGGGCTGGCTGGTTAGCTCAGTTGATGAGAGGGTAGTGCTGATAACACCCATGTCCAGGGTTCTATCCCTGTACCAGCCAGCCACCAAAAAATAAGAATAAAATAAAATTAAAATGTGACTGTGACAAAGTAGGGCTAGGCTCTACCTTATTTTATTAATGGTTACTAAAACCATACCTCGGATTCCATTAAAAATGCCCTCATTCTTTGACCATGATGGGAGAGATTCCATTGTCTGAAACAGAGCTTCAGATGTATGACTATCTTAAAACAACAGCTTGAGCTTCTGGTTATTTATGGAATCCTGAAAAATATTGATTGGAATGCATCATTATAATCAGTTACATACCATCTGTTCTCAGCACTGAAAGCATGGCACTGATCATCCAGCAAAAGATAAACACTGTCTATTTGTTTCTCAGTTCTTTCTCCCAAAAGTTTGTTTTTAAAAAACTTTATAGGGGGCATAGAAGTGTGAAAATCATTTTAGCTTCATAATACCTCAGCAAAATGCTGTGAGGTGTATTTAATTTGTTCTGATAAAATTCATGAATACTGGGCAGTGTTTATTTTATCTTTTTCCTTGATTTGATGATAATAATATGAATTTGGTATGGTCAGAACTGATAAAAATATTGATAACCTTAGTAGTAATGTGAATTACACTGTTATGTTCATTATTTCTGGTTCATTGTTCCTTTGAAACTTGGTTGACTGTATTTAGAAAGTATTGATGAATGTGTACATTTTATTTACTTTTTTTTTTAGTGTGTACATTCTTAAATCTTCTTTGAAACAATGTCAGTAATCATTTCTCTCTTTTTTTAACCTTTGTAGCTAGAAGATGAAGCTCTCAAGTACATAGGTGCACACTGTCCTGAACTGGTGACTTTGAACTTGCAGACTTGCTTAGTAAGCATCCCTTCCCACAGTTCTTCTGTATTAGGAATTCATTTCAGTAATATCATCCTAAGAGTTTCAGTCATCAAGAGCCATGGTTTTTCTGCTACAACCCTAGGGACATTGTAGACACAGGGATGACTCTTTATATGCATGACAGTACTCACTCCTAAAGGTTTGACATAGATAAGATAGATAGATGGTAACAAATGCAGAATTCAAGATGAACTAACTGTAATCCACCCATTTCTTATCTACTTAAGAAAACTGTCTAATTTTTTAAAATAAATTATTCACAGACTTCAGTATTTAAAATTTCATTCACAGGCCGGCCCGGTGGCGCACTGCTACAGTGCGCCGCTTGGGAAGTGCGGCGGCGCTCCTGCCGAGGGTTCGGATCCCACATACAGACCGGTTCCCGCTCACTGGCTGAGTGAGGGGCGGGCGCAGCACCGAGGGTTGCGATCCCGTTGCCGGTCCCGGTCCGGTACGGGCGCGACACTGAGGGTTGCGGTCCATTGCCGGACACAAAAAAAGACAAAAAGGGAAAAAAAAAAAAATTTCATTCACTCTTTAAAACCAATTAAGTTGTGCCAGTGGGTCACAACCGTGGGGAACCACTGATCTAAAAGATGACAAGCAATATGTACCCTTTAAATTATTTTTAGGTTGGCTGGCTGGTTAGCTCACAAGGCAGAGTGTGGTGCTGATAACACTAAGGTCATGGGTTTGGATCCCTGTACAGGCCAGCCACCAAAACCAAAAGTATAATAATAAATTATTTTTAGGTAGTGTCTATATTTAACATTTTGCCTTGTTGAGACTATCAGCTCTAATGTGTTTAAAGCTGATAGTTTTTCTTAGATAATTTGCTGAAACTATTCAAGGGCCTAGAACATTGACAGTACACCTTTAGCTTTTCTCTCTTGCCTTGAAAATTACATATGTATGTCGCCTTGGAGTGAGAGCCCCTCATAGCAAAGAAAAAAACTGAGGGTATCAAAGGACAAAATTACAACAAATGTAAAGATCTCCATTGGCTTTATTTCAGTTCTAGACTCACGCAACACTTCATTCCATAAAATAGAATAAACTTTCCAAAGAGGTGAGCAGAAGAGGTTAGTTTTATAGACAGAAAAGGCTGAAGAAAGCAGAAACAGAACAAAAAGAGGATTGGTCATTTCAAAGTTTCTTTTAAGGTGGGGACAGTGAGACAGTAGAAAAATAACCGATTATTTAACATTAGGTTACTCCCTTTTGTGTGAGAATTAAAGCAGAGGGAACATTATTATCATGCCTATTGAAGGTTTAAACTGGCCTGTTTGGGAAATTGGCTAAGGTCAGATCACAGCATAGTTTTGTTTTTGTTTGTTTGTTTGTTTGTTTGTTTTAAAGATGACCAGAAAAGGGATCTGAACCCTTGACTTGGTGTTGTCAGCACCACACTCTCCCAAGTGAGCCATGGGCTGGCCCCTTACACAGCGTAGTTTTGGTGAACCTAACTTCATAGGGGTTACTTCATTTTGATTTTTAGTCTGGTCTTTTGAGGCCTAGTACAGGAACTTAGTCCAAAACAATGGCCTCTTGTAATTTCTATTTAACAAGGATTTTTCTTGTTTCTACTAAGCCTTCTGCTTGTTATACCCTCCCCTCGTTTGATCACTTGGAACTTGAGAGCATACTGGTTGTTTATGAAAGGTGATATGTATAGGAGCACATCTTATGCAATGTAAGCAACCTGCCCCTCAAGCCCCTGAAGGAAGGTGCTGATAATGATCTATTTAGGAAACTCCTAGGGCCGGCCTGTGGCTCATTTGGGAGAGTGTGTTGTTGACAACACCAAGTCAAGGGTTAAGATCCCCTTAGCAGTCATCTTTAAAAAAAAAAAAAATGGAAGCCCCTAGATACGGAGTTAAAAGGATAACATCCCTCCCATATCATTAGGGCCGGCCTGTGGCTCATTTGGGAGAGTGTGTTGTTGACAACACCAAGTCAAGGGTTAAGATCCCCTTACCAGTCATCTTTAAAAAAAAAAAAATGGAAGCCCCTAGATACGGAGTTAAAAGGATAACATCCCTCCCATATCATTCTGATTGCCATAATTGCTGACTACCAGAATTTGCCTAATTTCATTTATAAGACCAAAATGTTTTTATCATGAGAGAGCAAGCATAATTGTTATAAACATGAAACTATCATCTTACAGTGCTAGAAAAAAACTGTTCTTAGGCAGCTTCAGATGAACATGCACGTACATATGTGTGTGCTAGCACACGCTCTCTTTCTCTCTATATATACATGTATGTATACACATAAATACATAAATATATACCATTTGCTGGTTTAGTTTGGTTTTCTTCATTCTTCCAGCAGGCGGGAATCACAGTTGGTAAGCGTAAAGAACCAGTTCTATCGTATGTGTATTTTCTTGTTTTCCCTTACCAAAATCTTAGTATAGGAGTTATTCCTTCCCTGCAATTTGATGAAATGATTGTCAGTATTCATGAAACTTCATGTTCTGCCCAGAATTATTGAAGCGACTGAAGTAGGCTGGCTGGTTTGCTCAGTTGGTTAGAGCGTGGTGGTGTAACACCGAAGTCAAGGATTTGGATCCCTATGCTGACCAGCCACCAAAAATAAAATTAAAAAATAAAGATCTTACTCTGAAGTGACTAATGTACATTTTGATGCATTCACTTTCTTGACTGATTTGAAAACAAAAAAGTTTAGTAAATTTTATTATTTTTTAAAATTGGGATTAAAGTATTGGCATTGTGACTTGCCTCCTCTTTCTTCCTCGATTCTCCGAGGAAGACTTTAAAACATAAGAAGGAAAGAGTAGCACAGTCCTATAATACTTTTCTGATATTATGTGGCACGAATTCTGTTGGCCTGCTAAGTGTGTGTATTTGTTGATTCCTTCCTGCTTCCCACTTTACACTTCAAGTATCCTTGTCTAGTAATGATACATCACGTTTGTGAGGCACTTTCTCAGGTAGTTCCACATGCGTATATGAGGATACTTCTAAAAGTTCATGGAAAGATTTGTATTGCCTTTTTTATTGGTGGCTGGCTGTTCTGGGGATCAGAACCCTTGACCTTGGTGTTGTCAGCATGACATTCTCCGAAGTGAGATACGTGGCCAGCCCAAGTATTACCTTTTAATAATGAACCATGAACTTTTCGAAGTACCTGTGTATACGTCATTATTTTATCCTCTTGGCAAATCTTGTATCTGCCTTAGCATCCAATTTTTAAATCTATATTTGTTTTGGTTGCATGATGTCGAGAACATGCTCATTTAAACAGTGATATTTATTAAACGTTTGATTTTTTTTTTTCCCAGTTGTCTTTGCAACTTAAGGACCCTGCTTGATTGAACAGAGATGGCAGGAGAGCTTTATTCTTAGGCACAACTGTTTATCTCCATAAATGAGATGTTCTTTATATTGAAAAACTGAAATATAGAAATAAATGGATGCTATGGCTGGTATGAGATTGCAGCTGTCATCTACAATTTGTTTTTTGTTTTTTCATTAACTTATCACTATCAATTTAAACTTGTAGATGTGTTTATGCTATTAAAATATTGCTGTTTTTATTTGGTTTTTAGATTTTAAAATCATTTAATTAAACCTACACTCTGATGCATCCCATGCTGTTCCCTGTCCCATTAGGTTTAAAGAATTCCATATAGCTTCTTCCCTTTACACCAAAAGTGAGCACTATTTTCTTGCATACTTACTCAGAAGGAACTGGAAGGAAGGAACAAAGTGTGTTCACTTTCTTTTAGGTCTGGTGTCTGATTAATATTAAACCTGCCTTGATTTCTTTTTGGTGCTTTTTCACAGAAGTATCATTTTCTTTTCTTCTTGTTTTCTGCTAAGTTACTAATACCTATGGATTTTTTTTTTTTTTTTGCTCTTGTTTTTTAGCAAATCACAGATGAAGGTCTCATTACTATATGCAGAGGGTGCCATAAGTTACAGTCCCTCTGTGCCTCTGGCTGTTGCAACATCACAGATGCCATCCTGAATGCTCTAGGTCAGAACTGCCCACGGCTTAGGTAAACATTTCTTGTTTAGCTCAAAAAAAAATCAGGGAAAAGGAACAAAAGCCTCCTTCACCCATATTTATTCCTTCGAATGTTGAAATCTTAAGGTAGATACTACAAAGCTGCTACCTTCTTAGATTCCCACCTACTTGCTTTTTATACCTCATTTGATTGCATGTAATTGGCATAAACCAAGGGGTAATAGTCCCCAAATTCTACTTCTTGCTAGCCATACTTGAGAAGGAAATAAAGGCATTTTCTCACATTAATGCTTTTATATAATTTCTGTCTCAAAGTTAAGTTTTAAAGGCCCACCCTGAGGTCATACCATAGTAGTGATGCTAAGTACATAGCAGGGAGTATTTAAAAAGAAAAAACAGCCCTTTGGGAGGACCTTTTTTGTGCAGGTGGTCTTTTAGAACAGCCGTAGTTCTCTATGACTCCTCCTCTCTGCTTGAATATGGAATTGGCTGTTTACTAACAAACCCATGTTGATTCTGGAAGAGCACACATACACTGTTTTGTAATGAGTAGAGATGATCCCCATATAGTTTTGTTTTTCAAAGCAAAATTTATATTGTACTTGTAATAGGATAGTCATTGTTCTTGGCTGTTTTACAAATATTAATCCATTTAATCTTCATAACACCACGTAAACAGCTATTATCTCCATATTATAGATGAGAAAACCAAGGCATAGAGAGATTTAGAAACCTGTAAGTGTTGGGGCAAGGAATCAAACTCAGGCACTCTGGCTCCAGAGCCCACGAACCTACTTTTCTTACATATAACAATCACTATAAAGCAATAAAACTTTCTAGAAATTTTTTTTGATGATTACCTTACCATGGCCCTTACCATAATTGTTGAAAGAACACCTGCCTACAGTATCAAAATTTTCTAATAGATCATGGACTCGTTGGTCAAAATTAGTAATATGAGAAGCCTAGACTAAAGTATTTCCCAGGAGTTAGGGAGGTAACCAAACCTTTCTTTAAAAGTATTATATGTTATCTTTCTGTATTTTAAAGAGAGTGGTCTTCGGCTCCATCCTCCTGTACAGTTAATTATATTTTTAGAATGGAAAAGGTCTGAAATGTGATGCTCAAAAGATGTGTTTAGTCAGCTCATGCCATTAGGTACAGCATTCGTTTCTGATTTTGAATTGATAATAATTTCCTATACTTTAGTTTTTTTCAACTTCAGTAGTATTTGTAAGCAAATGTATAAGTGTTCTTGGTACCATTGTGCAGAGGTCAGCACACTTTTCACAGAAAAGAGCTACTTTTGATTCCCCAGTCCTGTGTTTGGTATTTAGATTGGTGTTTAGCAGTTGCTGAATAGGGGAGTAGCTGCCAACTCAGCTTCCCTCTCTACTGGGCCTCCAAGGGAGTCTGTGGGAGGAGGCAGGAAGCTTTCATAAGTATGGAATTTCATATTTGGGACAGACCTGTAATTAAGCAGTCCCTTCATTCCATTTTTTAAAAGCTTTTTAAATCTGAGTGAATCTACTTGTAAAAACGGAAAGAAAATTGTTTTTCAGCAACAGATTTACTGAAATAGAGTATTTATCTCCATTTCCTTTGTTTTCTAGGAGCAGGCTGCCCTCTGGGGGTAAGCAGTATCCCATCAAGAAGGCTTTTAATGTATTTCATGCATTTTGGCATTAACTACAAGCATCAGTTATATTCTTCTGTGTTCTTTGATTGCATCACCTTGAAATGTGGTATTTATAGGACCACTTAACGATGACTCCAGGAAAATGAATGGCGAGAGCTGTATACAGACTGGCTTAGCTGTTGGTGTCATTCTATATTATAAAAGTCGTTAGGGAATAGGAGGTTTCTTAAACTCTTGCTGTTTTAGTAAACACAGTTTTTAGAAACTAGGAACTTGACTTTCACTATGTTTTTTTAACAGAATATTAGAAGTGGCACGATGTTCTCAATTAACAGATGTGGGCTTTACCACTCTGGCCAGAGTAAGTATTTTCTGTAGGTTCCATAGGTTTGTTTCCATAGGTTTTGGTTGGGATTTTTACTTCAGAAGAATGAGTAGCAAGAGAAATGTAGAATGGCAGCAGAATTGGGAGTGTGAGACGGGGGCAGTTCCTCTGTGGCTGGTGTTCCTGAGCATTCTTAGGCTACAGCTACAGACCTGCTGGTGCCAGTAAGAATAGAAACTGCTCTGGAAATGCAGACATGTATCAGAGAACATGACATTCCTTCATGAGACTTAATTCTCCACAATTTCATAAGATGATAAATTAAGCAGGGACTTCCTGGTGTTTTGTAAAAGAAACTTACTTGGTTATTTGGTGTGTAACTGTTGGATGAGAGTAATGTTGAAAGGAATATATACTCATAAGCTGGTTTTAAATGAAGAAGTTTTCAAAGATTTCTGTATTTTTAAGATTTTAATACTTGGAGTGGTTTATAAATCACTGTATAGTAATCGTATTTAAAATTATACTGACTTTAACCAATGTCGTGGAACAGGAGGAAGGGCATTTGCTTTCAGATAGATTATTGATGGAGTACTAATTGGGTGGAGGCCAGCACATGGTATAACTAAAGAAGGATGTGAAACTTGCTTTCCTCTCTTCCGAAGAAACAGTTTTAATTAAATTATTTATGGTTGACAGGATGTCTGTATTATCCCAGTATTAACGTTCATCAAAATTATTCCCTTGGACTTGTAAGATGTTAGATACTTTAAATGTGAAATAATTGAGAAAGTTCAAGGTGATCATAGCCTTTTAAAGTGTGTAATTAATGGAATAAGATAGAAAGTGAATGACACCAACAGTGAAATACTAAGATTTCATCAGTATATTTAATACTACCTCTCAGTATTTGGGCCTTAAAATTTTCCTATGTTTTAAATGTTCACATTGTAATGTTTGGTTTTGTACTTTGTAGAATTGTCATGAGCTTGAAAAGATGGACCTAGAAGAATGTGTTCAGGTAAGATTGTGGATTTTCATTCAGAAATATGGTGTTAGAGAAACTTATAATACATACACATCAGAATGTTCAATTCCCTTGTGTAGGACACTGTAGTGCCTGGCAGCACTACTGATTCTCCATTTATTGAGGTGTCTTCTAGGCTGCCATGCAGAAGTGCTCATGGTATATGTGTTAAAGAATTATGAAAATACATGCCATCAGTCAGGTTGTCACTGGAGAGAAAGGAGGTCCAAGTGTTCAGGCCATAAAGCTGTTAAAGTAGTTCCTTAGGGGCCAGCCCATGGCTCACTTGGGAGAGTGTGGTGCTGATAACAATAAGGCCACGGGTTCGGATCCCTACAGGGATGGCCAGTTAGCTCACTTGGAAGAGCCTGGTGCTGACAACACCAAGTCAAGGGTTAAGATCCCCTAATGGTCATCTTTAAAAAAAAAAATTTTTTTTTTCTTAGTCCTGTGGAGTTGTGATACCAGTAAATAAAGCCCCATCACACTGATCTGTAGCACTGTCCTTTTTAGCTTAACTGGACCTTGGATCCGTTGTGTCATTAGCCCTGGAGACCTGACTCTATCTGGCTCTTAAGACAGGCTGACCTCCTTATCAACACCACTCTCTAACCAACTGAGCTAACTGGCCAGCCTCTTATCAACAATTTCTTTTATTGCCAGTTTTAAGAGCTTTGAGATTATTAATTTGTTGGAGAGAAACTTTGAAGCGGAACTTTAAAAAGGAAAATAGAGCAACAAAATTTTTTAAAGGTAAAAATAAGGGGAGATACAGGCATTCTTCAAAAAGTTAGTGGAAAAATAGAATTAAGAGATAATATGAATCTTTCCATGAACTTTTTGAAGTACCCTTGTACTTCTGTAACTATAAAGACCACTTTTTAAAAAATTACTTGTTGTCTAGACACTACTTAGCAGTTATTAGTTCTCACTAAACCAAAACTTACTTACATTCGTTTATATCTTAAACATGCCTGAGTATCCTCTGTGTTCTTCCCAGCGTTAGTCCTTGTGAATGGTCAGGCCTGTCTTCCTCAACACACCCCACCACCATTTCTTAGCCTCTGTGAAGCTGTATGTAGTAAAAAAAAATCATAATCTCAAAGTTGGAGTCCTTGTGAATGGTCAGGCCTGTCTTCCTCAACACACCCCAACACCATTTCTTAGCCTCTGTGAAGCTGTATGTAGTAAAAAAAAATCATAATCTCAAAGTTGGAGAAAATTTTGAAAAGAAGCACTGATTTACTTTCAGTCCTAAGATAACTATGAAAGACTGTTCTCTCTCCCTGAACGTTCATGGTTAACCCAGATTCCAGCAGTGCCTATCTGCCACTCTTGAGAAAATAGCTGACACCCAAGTTATCAGTCCTGAGTTGTGGCATGCCTTATTAAAAATAGGCCAAATATCTAAAAATTTGAGGATGTCTGACATTATTTTTTTTTTCATGGAGCACTGTCTTCTGATTCTTTTCTTTGGTGGTTACAAAGAGATAACTACAAAGTCCAGTGGGTGTAAGTTCCAAGGGGACAGGTTTTGATTCATTTCCAAAACAAAACAGAATTTTAAACAGAGGTGTCCAGAGATTGAGACTAGAGATGATAGATGTGTTCAAGCCTATCCTGGGCAGGTTCTTACAGAACAAGTTCAGGTAGCCAGTGGGATTTGAACCTTAAGATTCTGTTATTTGATGGTTGATTATCAGGATGTCTAGAGGTGTCTTCAAGAATGAGGGATGGCTGATGATTTTATTTGGAATTATACCTAAAATAAACTTATGTATTTCTTTCAGATAACAGATAGCACATTAATCCAACTTTCCATACACTGTCCTCGACTTCAAGTATTGGTGAGTTTGACTTTCAAAGTTTCATTTGTTTACTGGATTTAAACAAAATCTAGTTCTGTAGTTCTAGTTAAAGTAAGAACTCAGCTCTTACTTTTCTCTTAGTGCGTGGCTACCATTTTGGGAAAGGATGCTTCTCCAAACTGCCAACTTACAGAGGACAAAGGGAGGACCTTAGTGAAATGGGAAACTGAGATAGGAACTGGAAAAGTTAAATGTTTCTGTATCAGTGTTTGGAGACTGAAAACTGACATGGAGAGTATGAGTTATCTTTTCCATGTGAATCATATTCCAGTCCAAGTGATGTCTAAATTCTGGAGATCTAGGGGATGATATGGCTTAACATGTAAATTGCTTCACCTTGGGAACAAATGTTCTTATAAGACAGAACCAATCAAGCCTTTCCTAGGGGGAGTTTTTGCTACTACTTTCAGTGACACTATAGGAAGGTATTCTGGTTGAATGTTCTGTATCCAGGCTCATTTTTGGTGTGTTGGATGGCACATACTATCCAAAACTGGGTCAAGGGTTCTGAGTTTTTCAGATCAGGGACTTAAGGAAGATTCATGAAGTGATTATGTGATTAGGTAACCACACCTGACAGCTATAAAAATCATCTTCAGTTAATTAATTGTTTGGTCATGCCCCTGCACCAGATATTCCATATTTTTAGTTCAAATTCCAGAAAATTTTTTGTATGAAAAGCTTAATTCCCACTTGTCCCTACTAGAGAAAAGTGTTAATTTGGGGAGAGGGTAATTTTTAAGACTGTCTTATTTTGTTCATGAACTAGTTCACAGCCATTACCTGAATTCACAAAATATGTTTAAAATCACACACAAAAATGTCAATCATTGATTGCCAAAAGTAGAGCCCCAGCAACACTAGCTTGCTTTCTTCAATTTACTGTATGGATCTACTGATGGCTCCATATTTATTGAAATTAAGCCAGAAAAGTTTTACACAAGCCTCTGGCTAGAGGAACGCCAGAAGATATTTCAGTGTCCTTCCTTGCTCTATTTGGCTGCAGAGTCTGTCTCACTGTGAGCTGATCACAGACGATGGAATTCGTCACCTGGGGAATGGGGCCTGTGCCCATGATCAGCTGGAGGTGATTGAGCTGGACAACTGCCCACTAATCACAGATGCATCCCTGGAGCACTTGAAGAGCTGTCACAGCCTTGAGCGGATAGAACTCTATGACTGCCAGCAGATCACACGGGCTGGAATCAAGAGACTCAGGGTAAAGATGGCTGCATCACTCTCCAGCTCTGGTGTTCTCAGCATTCTTACTTGTCTTTTTTTCTTTTTTTTTTTTTTTCCAGATTTAGATTCCTGTAATTTTTATATTTACTTGGACATTTAGTAAGGAGAAAACAAAAATGGAGAGCAAACCTAAGGGTAGATAGTTTTTACATATGGTTTCATTCAGATGGAAATTTAGTAAGGAAATACCCACTGAAGGGAAAGAAAAGTAGATCATCTCCCAGCAGAGTCTCTCCAATAATGTCCAGAACTTAATAACATCCCGGAGTCAAAAAAAAAAAAAAAAAAGCACATCAGATTTTGGTTCTAAACAAAAGAAAGGAATAACCTAAAGAAAATGTTTGGTTAAATGGGATTTAAGAATGTAATTTGTATTTCCTTTTCACATCAAACCCTTTTCCTGGGGTTCTTATTGTTTAAGACAACAAATGGATCAAATAGATTTTTACTATTTCTTTTGACCCCATCCTGCATAATAGAGAGACCCATGAATAGCCAAATGACTGGAAGACAGGTTGCCAGCAAAGAAGTTATAAAAAGCTGGTTGAATCTATATGTTAGATTATTCAGCTCAGCAGATTTATTGGGACATCTGCTTTACACCTGCTGTAGGAAAGGCACTGTGCTTGGCTAGGCCCTTACCACCAACATCTGAAAAGTCCTCGTTGGTCATAAGGCTATGAGCAAGTAAAGGAGCACCAAACCTCATCTTGAGTTCCAGTTGGCCTTAGTTCCTTCTCCCTTTTCAGACGTGGAGAACTGAGAGCACAACTACAGTGGGGGGAGGCTTGCAGCCATATATCTCACTAAAAGAGGAGAAGAGCCACCGGTCCACCAGAGCCTCTTTTATGATCTGCTTGTGCTAGGATTCACATCAGGAATCTCTTCCATCTCTGAATCTTCAGGAGATGGATCTGTTACCTGTTCTTCAAGTCACCTCGTACTTTTCCACTTTGTTAGCTATTTATGTGCATGTCTAGACTATATGCTCCCTAAGAGCAGAATCCCCATCTCGACCATCTTTGTACACTTCTCACTTAACAGCTATTACATTGCCTTGAACATAGTAGGTATTCAGAAATAGTACTAAAGACTAGAAGCATGTTTTTTAAAAGAGGATAATGAGGTTTTTAAAAACATCAGGAAAAAACATTGTCCACAGTGACTTGGGAAAAAATAGTTATTTTAAGTTTACATAGCTTCTTACAACTGTGGGAGTCCAACTGGGAATCCCTTTGGGACAAGATAAGATATTAACATGTTTTCCCCAGTTTAACTATTATAGATACAGGTACCACAGTTACGAGTTGATTTGGGGGCCGAACCCGGTCCCGCCGAGGGTTCGGATCCCATATAGAGACCAGTCCGCTCACTGGTTGAGCGCAGTGCGGGCGCGACACCGAGGGTTGCTATCCCGTTGCCGGTCGCGGTACGGGCGCGACACCAAGGGTTGCGATCCCGTTACCGGTCACGAAAAAAGACAAAAAGGAAAAAAAAAAAGAGTTGATTTGGTCGTTTAGAACAACCTAGGATGGAGCAAAGTAGAACCCAGGTCTCTCACCATCCTAGCTACTGCTCAGCCTCTGCCCTGTTTTCATGTCCCTTCAGCCCCTCAGTGGTTTTTCTGAGAAGCAGCATTGCTCTTTCTGTTTTAAGCCCTCTCTCTTAGTAATGTTTCTGTCTTGTTTCAGACCCATTTACCCAATATTAAAGTCCACGCCTACTTCGCACCTGTCACTCCACCCCCATCAGTAGGGGGCAGCAGACAGCGCTTCTGCAGATGCTGCATCATCCTATGACAATGAAGGTGGTCAACCTTGGTGAACTGAGTATTTAATGACACTTCTAGAGTTACCATGGAGTCTCTCCGGTGGAAGCGACCCCTGTGTTCTGGGCAAGGGTTACAAAGTGAGGGCAGTGTCCAGATCCCCAGAGCCACACATATGTATGCATACACACCCTCACCCCCATCCACTTTAGCTCTATGACCATAGGACTGAAGTTCGTGCTGGCTTTATCAGGTGGGTCGGTAAAACTTAACCGTTCCTGTTGGATTTGCCCAGAAGAAAATCAAAGGCTGCAGTAGAGGGAGGGCCATTCCAGCAAACCCAGTGTTACTGCTACTGTGGTTTCTTTAACTTGTTAAGGGGTTTCTTTGGGGATTTTGGACCAGCAACTGCAGTTCTCCAGGGTCAAGGAAAGCATGGAAAAACAACATATGCTATATCCTAGGGACCAGAAAGAAAGTTTCTTTGCATCATAGAAATGGTAGCCATCTATTGTGAGAAGACTGCAGAGCTTCTGTGCTTCCATGTGTCCATGCCAACATGCTGAGCATGCTCACAAAGAAGGCTCTCCCATTTCTCCTGTGTTTTAGTACTTGGCACAGAGGTTTCCTAAATGGTTGCATCGAAATTGCTGTGGTCTGAGTGTGATTTGTTCGCTGAAGTTGTCACTGTCTGTAGCACACTTGCGTACCTGTCTTCATTCTTTGTTGCTCTCTTCCACATTCTTACTCAGTCTGGCACCTCTTCATAGTCTGCTTACTCACTCACTTGTTACTCTTTTGCTGTTGTGTTTACAGTTTGCATTTTGGATGATTAGTTGGGGTTACCAAACATTTTTAAAAGAGACATTATCAATAAATATTTTTTTAATTCTAAATTTTACCATTAGGGGACCCTGCTGGAATCTTTGCCTGTCTGAAAGGAAACTAACAAAAGCAAGAAATGTTATAAGAAGAAATTAAGCTAAAACTATTTTGATGAAAACAAACTTGGCCTTTGGTTTCTGTTGTATCTTGTGATATATGATAATGCGCATGATATGCCCAGTATTCCCCCTGCACATTTTATCTTCCATCAAAATCCACTAACTTAATAAGGAAAGAGAGAAATGCATTATTAGTAAAGAGTGAAATGGCCAATCCAAAAACTAAGCCTGAAAGTTCCCACCACCCCAGCTTAGACAAGGATGATTAGCATTATACATTCACTGAAATCTAGGTATGATGAGTGGCATCTCTGACCAGGAATGCTGCTAAAGGAGCTGCCAGTCTAGCCAGTTAGGATACAAGAATGGCCCTATAATAGCTGGTCAACTATATATCATTGTTAACAGTATCATATCTAATGTTGGCACCACCAGAACCTTTTCAGAACCTGTCAACCATATCTCTCTTCTCCAGACTTCCCTTGAATGAAATATGAGAGTAGCCAGACAAAGGCGTTGTACTAGCCAAAAGAGAACATTGGGAAGAAGTAGGGGGTTCGGTGTGTCTGCCCAGCCTGGACACCTGGTACCAGAGCTGAGAGGAGGGGTTCAATGCCCAGGACTCAGGAGTCCAAGAAGAAGTGTCCCCCTCACCCCAAATCATAGAGGATGAGGGAAATAAAATGAGTTTCTAAAAGCACAGGAAGTATATTTCTAAGCCCCCAAATTAGAAACCTTGTTCACACAAGGTTTTAATAGGGTCATTTTGGGTCTTTTAGGAATTTAATGTGCAATCCACCATGATCTTAGGTCTTTTTCTGCCTGACCCAGGCTGTTAAAAGGCTTGTTTTAATGCTGCAGGTGCTGGTTCTACCTACATATGAAAGAATGAAGTCTGAGTTATTTCTTCATTGATTTAGAAACACTCACATGAAAGGGTTCTAGAAGTCTATACTACCCATTGTTATTTAGTATATTAAATGTATTTTAAATCCTATTTTATTATGCCCCTTTAAAGCTCAAATTACTTGTTTTTTTCATTCCCCTTCTCCCTTATCTTCTTTTCAATCACCTTATAAGGAATATAGTTTTTAAATTGAGACTCTCCTGGCTGTACCTCACACATATGAGGGGTCTTCAAAAGGTTCATGGAAAGATCCATGTTATCTTTTTTTCTGTTTTTTCCACAAACTTTTTGAAGTACCCTTGCACAAATACATACATGCATACACACACACTTCCAGATGTGGTTGAAAATATTCAGATCCCCAGGTCAACTTATTTATATAAAACTAAGAGAAATATTTAGGTGCCACCTGCTCTAAAGTATAAGATTTTTTTTTTTCTTTTTTTTTTTAGTGGCTGACCAGGATGGGGATCTGAACTCATGACCTTGGTTTATTTATTTGTTTAGTGCTTGAAAAAAATTGACCATAAAACCCAGATTGATTAATGAGTATAGATGTGTAGATTTGAATTGCCCAAGTTGAGGCTATTAAGATACTTCTTTATTTAAAAGTTTAAAAGATCCTATTCATCAGGTCATGAAGGTCTTAGAAATGCTGTCTCTATACTCAAAGGGTTTACCTATGTGCAGGTCAGCGTGGACTTGCCCAAGTGATCCTAGCTGTTGAGGCAAATTCCAGCCTATCTGGGCCAAGAACAGAGTCAGGTGAGAGAGAACAAAGGCCCTGGGGTGTACAGCACTAGCTTGTATGTGATCAGGCATGAACCTTGTTCCTTTCTCAAGAAAACTTCAGGCCCATCAAGCTTGGAAGGAAATACATTTTTTATGCTGATTTGCAACCTACTCCTGCTGATGAATATGCTAGGACTTTGAAAACACAGAACATGGTAAGTTTTGCTCAAGTGGAAAGGGTCCTGACATCTGAATATAAATGCTTCCTGTCTCAACATCTGGAATACTTTTGAAAATTCAATAAGGCTTAATGTAGGAAAAATTCTTAGAAAAAAGCTTATTGGTCTATTTAACTCCATAGCTACTCCAGAATATGTCTTTTATAATGAAAAATATAGAGAATGAGAAGAAAGAAGAGATTTAGAATAAGTAAGAGGGTACTCTCAAAATGATTGCTGTAAACCTACTGGTAGCCAGGAGGAATTATTGCAGTGTCTGGAGAAAGTTCTCAAACATACAGATTATCTCTTTTCTAGCAGCCTTTGCCCTAGTCTCATCCCTTACATTTTCCAGCATTGTTTGCTACATCAGTATCTTTTACATCCTCTTTATTGGCATCATCAAGGTGATTCTAGCTTTTTTTTTTTTTTTCTTTTTCTTTTTCTTTTTCTTTTTGGCACTGATTTCTACCATTTCTTTCTGACACCCATCCTTGCCCTGTATTTAAAGCCTCCATGTCACCCCCAGTAATGCTCTAGCTTCCTCTTTGGGTCCTTGTCCTGATTCAGGAAAACATTGTGGGCAGCCGTGAATTCAGTAACTGTCAGGTGGCACCGCGGGCTGTTTTTCACTCAGTTGGTCTTTGATGTTTGCTTACTGAATTGGAATTGAGTTTAAAATCAGACTATTGGATATGAGGAATAAAGGGATCTGGCTTCAGCCTTTTTTCCAGTATTTGGAATATGAAAGCATATTGTGCTTTGTGTAAATGTTTTTTTCCTCCTGTTCTGCTCTTTACTGGATGTAAAAATATTCCTTAAATGGTTTTTGTAAATTTCCAGTCTGGTTTCTGTATCCATCAAGTTGATTTAGCAGACATAAAGTCAGAAATTTCACATATCCCCTGTATCAAATATTTTAGAGGGAAACCTAGTAAATAATTTCCTGATGCTTTATTTTGGGCTTTCCAGGCTATTTGAATAGTTCAATATAGCCATAGAAGCCAAGTAGCCAAGTTCTTCTATTTCTTCTAAATTGCCTTGTAAAAAGCATTGTTACTGGTTTGATAGCCCACTACTGCCACGGGGACTAAACATAGTATGTGATGGAACCTGTCTTGATTTGAAGTTGTTAAGAAGTGTGAGAGTGTCACTGGAAGGAAGAGGGTGACTGCCTGCTTGTCTGCGTGGGCAGCACATCCTTAGGTGACAGAGGAATACCTGTAGGTCATGGTTGACCCTTGGCCATTTAATGTGTATTGTGCTGAAAGTCACAGACTGCTCATGCCACTTGCCACTAGTGAGAGGAGGGGTTTAAAGAAAATTTCTCTGTTCTGCTTTTACCCTCCTGTGTGCATAATATAAGGGTAGGTTTCTGTTCATGTCATGCCTCCTGGCTGACAGACTTTCAGTGGTGTGCTCTGAGCTCTGAAACTTTTACAAAAAGATTGCCTCCTCTATCTGTCTACCAGGATCTTTATCCATCTCAAACCCAGGCAATGTGAATTAGCCAAGTCCGAGGAGAGGTATAGGATGTTTGGTTGGAGGTCTTGAGGCAAAACCCTCCTCCTCCCCCTCACAATGATCTTGGATCAAAGAATGGTAAAACAGTAGGAGGATGAGCAGAAATACAGAGTTCCAGCCTCTCTTCACCTTTATTTCTGTCATAAAATTTAGTTGCAAGATTGGAAGATACAAAAAGCTTTATAAAACCATATCAATAAAGCATAATTAACCCGGGTAATCTGGGAATAAAATTTGGCTGTAATTGCTATATCCAGATACCCTAACTTGACATCTTTGCTGGAGAGCAAAGAACATAGGCTACTTAAGCACCAGCTGCTCTAACCTTGCTTCTCATTTGGGATAAACTTTCTACCTGCCAGAAACTACCATATAGGACAAGTGAGTTTTCTGCATGAAGGGCTTCTCTAGCTTCCCCCTCCAGTAAAGTCTACCTGTTTTTTTCCATTTTTATTCTTAGGAATATCAGTTCTGTGTCTCTGAAGCCTTTGATCCTTAGGAAAGTCCGTATGTAACCTCTCAGCTGAGTCTGAGTGAATCTTAGGAGCCCAAGAGAGTTACACTTAATTTTCAGGAGAAAAAAATTTGTTGGACAAGCACACATGTGAGATGTTAAGAGAAAAGTCCACGTGCACTTCTGTCTGCCTCGTGTGTTTTGTAAGTATGCCCTTGTAGAGTTCGGTTTGCAGATGGTAAGTCTCAATGCTTCCTTGGCTAGGGTTGTTTATTGCCCTTTTAGGAAGAACCATGAACAAGCAAAACTGTATCAATGGCTCATTCTATTTTGTATGTTTTCTAGGGTCTTATTTTGAAGAATTGGCATGGGGAAATGTTAGAAGTTCAAAGTAGAGAGAATCAGTTCTTGAACTTGGGTACTTTGCCTCAGGTACAGCATCTGTCCTGAAGCTGTAGTGATGGCTGCTTCTCACATTGGTACATTTACTTTTCTCTCCATCTGATAAACTCTGTGTCCTTTTTTACTGACAAGGAGGGCTTCTACTTTCCACACATCTGACCAGAGTCATCCAGTTAAGAACTGGTACCCCTGAAGGAACCACTAGTGCTTCCCAAATGCTTTGGGGCATGCTTTTCATACCAGGACAAGAGCAGGTGGGCAATAACTGAGAATCCTCACCCTAAGAAGAGATGGGAGAAGAGAGATGTCCAGACACATATCTTTTCTCTTCTGCCATCCCCTAAGAACCAAGGGAAATCTTTGAAGTTCTGTCTTTTTGTTAAAGTGGAAGAAAACTTTGCTCCACTGTTTCTTTTGTCTTTGTCTCTTACTACTTATGAATCCAAATCTGTACCACACTGCTGCTTACACTCGTATGTGTTTTTTTTTTTTATCTTAGCCTAAACCTTCTTAGCCCCTGAAGTCATTATTCTACTTTTTTCTTTCTTTTTTCATGGCGCTAGAGAATGAGAACCTAAAGTCTCAGAAAATCCTAACTTGAAAAAGAATCTAACTGGCATGGTTTGATTAATTACTTTATCTTTTCCCACTAAAGAGAAATGATTTTCTTTCCTAGTGTTATATAATAGATCTTTATATGAGTGAACCTTTGCTGCTACTTTCCTGGGTTTACATCAGTTTTTTCCTTCCCTTAAGAATAATTTCTTATCTGTGCTTCTCTGATGACTGTTAATTTCTGATAAGTGCAGGAAGGGGTGAGGCTGTGATTTCTCCTTACTCCTTTCCTTACCCCACCCCCCAAATTAGACATTAAGTTCTAACTGTTAGAGCCTGTTGGCACATGTACAGGATCCATGGGACCGGGCTCACTAGAGGCTACCTGGTGTTCTTTCTCACCATGCTGCAGCTCTCAGAGCTGACCCCTGAGGATCTCTGACTACCCACTCCAAAAAGGTTATTGTAGGAGGAGAGATGCCTTCTTAATTTTGCCTTTCTCCATTTGTGTTTTATGACCTGGCCTTCAGATGCTTCCCACCCGGGCCATCTCCTTTTTCCTCCCAGGCATTGTTTTCAGGTAACCTGTATGCATTGCCTAGCTGCTCTGTTCACCTTGTCCACCTTCCAGTGTGACCCTGAGAGCACAGACCTGAGTAATGTGGCCTGTGCAGAGCTCAGAGAACTGTGAGGACTCTCCATGCTTGTCAGACTCTGCTCAGGGACAGAGATGGATGGGGAAATAGAGCTGTTGAAGAAAAAAAAATTTTTTTTTAAAGGACCTGTAAGGAGATCTTAACCCTTGACTTGGTGCTGTCAGCACCACACTCTCCCAGTGAGCTAACCGGCCATCCCTATATGGGATCCGAACCCGTGGCCTTGGTGTTATCAGCACCGCACTCTACCGAGTGAGCCCCGGGCCGGCCCTCTGTTGAAGAAATTTTTATGATCAAGTTGGGCTCTGTTTCATCCCTGCACACCTCCCTCCCCCCCCCCCCCCCAAAAAAAAAAAAAAAAATCCAGAGGGTGGTTGACTGGCAGGGTCTGTTAGCTGACTTCCCCAGCCAT